ATACTGTAGGTAATGTCGTTACTTATTTAAGATATTAATTAAATTTAAAATTATACTAACTGGAGGATATAATCTAAGATTTTCACGAATAACCATATTTAAATACTTTAATGACGCATGATGTTCTGCCGATGGTGTTAGATCATCACCAAGTATTTTTAAGACCTCTTCTCTGGCTTTTCTTTGAACATCCTAGATAAATGAAATTACAAATACCAAATACTTAGTAGTTTAATAAGTATAATAGCAATAATACTATAATAATACCAGGCGTCTTACTTTATGAACTGCTAAAAGATATAAAAGAGTCGATAAAGCATTTGCGGCTAAATTCATAGAAAGGAAGGGGTATACGTGTTAAATAACAACTATAAACTGATTGTTCTGAATTAATAAGAACTAACATAATATTTACTTGTGTCATGACCTGCAACCATAAAAATAGCTAAATTATGCTGTTAAAATAAAACATGATATTAAAATTTTACTATTTGGATTATATCAATATAAGTCTAAAGTTACTTACTCTTAGTTTATATCTGATAACGTTGGATTATCAGGATCTTCACAAGCCTTTAACATAAGTTCCAAAAGATCTCCATTAGATTGTCCAGCAGCTAAATATTTACGTTTTTCTTTAATCAAATCCTCGAATAAATAATTTAATCTATCAATTTTACTAAATGCTAGCCGTCTCAAGATCGGAATGTGTTCAATTGAAATAAGAGAAACAAAAGGATTTCTAAACACTTTCTGAGCTTCATTATAAGCTGTTACGTAGACATTATGCGGATCTTGAAGATTCTAATTTGAAAGTTGTTTAAATTTTAATTATACAATATTTACAGCATATATTTTTCTATTTGCTCTTACATTAAAATCAAAATTAAAGGAAACTTTTCCAAGAACATCTAAAGTCAACCTACAAAATTTTGAATTTATAAATTTTAGTGAATTAACATAAGGCTTGTAAAGAGCATCTTTATTTTTTACCTTTGCATAAAATCTTGGACTTCAATAGGCTTATTATCGACTCTTTCTAAAATATCCATTAATTCTAAACCCTTTTCAACAAAAAGGTGTACTGGAAAAGCTTTAAATGCAGGGTTACATACGCGTCTAATTAAAAGATATTTTATTGGCAAATAATATTATATTGTATTAATAAAGAATTAAAATAACGAACGATAAATAAAAATGTAAAAAAGGACCTATGCCGCTTCCAAACCTAAAATAAAACAATAAAACATTATAAAGAATTTTGTCAAAATATTTTATACAATCAATGATAAAACAAGACTTACATCGCCATTTGAATGAACAACATTCACACCAAAATGTCGTTCAGCCACAGATCCTGGCATAATTTCATCAAACATTATCTTGGGAAAAACATCTATGGAATAATATAGATATTAGTAAATAGAAAATTTAATGGAGTTATCGGACGATTTACGACCTACCGGGTCGTAAACATAAATCTTTAGCAATTTCTGGATCAGATATCATGCAAATCCATCTTCCTTTAAAATAAAGCTAAGGATATATAAAAAGTAAATATCTTGTTATATACCTTAATTTTGCAATTTATATCCAATTAAATATACCTTCACAACACCATCCCTTTCGAAATATTCTTTAAAACGTAAATAAAACTTATCACTTCCTTCTGGTTTTCTAATCATCAACATCACTAAACGCAAGAATGTAACCGAATGAATATTCTTAAGAGTATCTGGTTCTTTAGGGTTAACATAATTGTAGATTTTGTAAATTATAAACAGAATAGCAACGATCAATAGGAAAATCAAGAAATCCATGGTTAATTCTAATACATATTCTTTGGGCAATTTAACATTGAACACGGTTTTATGTTTTTCATCACAGTTTACTAACTATGACTAATTATGTAAGTATAATTATAACCGCCTTAAATGATTTCATGTTTGCATAATTGATTATAATAAAATACGGATATCGGTATCTCAATGCTCCCGAAATGCCGAAATTATAGCCGAAATATAGTACCTTTTGTGTTTTATTTATTGCTATTGGTTGCTAGATTAAGTTATTTTTGTATTACTTACGTATCAGCATGTACAGTACGTACGTTAAAATTCTGATTAGTACATAAATGTTAATTTTTCTCGGAAGTGAGTAATTTAGTGTAATTTTTTAAAGTCCGAAGTTTGAAAATATTAGATTATATCCTCCAGTTAGTATAATTTTAAATTTAATTAATATCTTAAATAAGTAACGACATTACCTACAGTAT